TGCCGCGAGTGTATGGGAGGTTATTTCTTAATAAAACACCAGAAGGCTGACCGGGTGCCGAAATGACGAGCGGTAGACTTTAGCGTATACGACTGTTTAGTGGAGCGCAACACATCGGATAGAAATCTGTAATGATTTAGTCTTAGCCTCCTAACTAGCATGTATATAATCAAAAGTAAGCAAGTCCTGGTATTAAAAAGCATCAGTATAAAACATACTGTGAATTCTTCTCCTTCCGTTTTTCCCTCGGTTTGTCAGCCTTGTCCTTAGCTGTATTCGTTTTATTTGGGTTATAACCTAAAAGTGAATACCAAAGATGTGCTCTTACTCAAAATAACCGAGTAACAGTTAGGCCACAGGGAGCGGACGAAAGAAATGGCCTGGTGTGCTAGTTCGCGCGTTTCAAACTCTACCACAGCGCACAACTCGCTTCCCAAGTAGCCATGAATACTTTGAGATTTTACCAAGTCGTGCGGAACGCTGCGACCAGCATCGATTACGCGGACCAGAGAGACGGGAATGCCGACAGACTACGCGCGTTAAGGAGGGAAACGGCTTACCTCAAAAAGTGTTGTAATTGAGTCAACGGAAACCACCTCTTTTGGGTCGAAAGATGAGATCATGATAGTTCGCGTGTAAACCAGACGATCCCAGGCAGGAAGAGGGTTCTTTCTACGGATAAGCGTGCCTTTTACCCTAATGACAAAAAACACAACAAACCATCATCCGAAACCTCAACTTGACTCGAGTTTTTGAGAGCATCCCTTACGTCTTGTTCGTTGGTCGTCAGGCTTACAATACGCTTGAAGCCGGCTACCGTGGACAATTTCATCCAGCCTTCTTTGGACGACTTAACGGACTTTAGCATAAATTGGTCCTTCAAAATATTTGCGTCCGAGAAGTAGAATTCAATCTGACGCAAGATTTTGGCAGAAAGGTCGTCACCAGGCGGTGATGAGGCGCACTCGTTTGTGGGTTGGTGATTAGATAAGGCCTCTATTGGTTCGGAGTCAGGCGACTGACCACCCCTAATCCAGGCTATAAGCAGAAGTAATATACATAAATTAATGGAAAAACCTACGATTTTTTACTGGTTTCGGGGCAGAATGTCTCGAACCGGCATCCCCCACCGAGCCACCGACAACCTCCATCATGTGCCCGCCTGTGACTGATTGGCCCGTCGAAACCTAATTCCGCAAACGTTGAGTCATTTAAACGCGTATTTTAGTATTCAAAATTTAAGTACATTTTCCAACCAAAATGCTGGAGAACAGCAGTATTCAGGGTTTTGTCGCTTTGTAAACTAAGCACGAGCCATTTCCGACGGGGTGTCATGAAGAGTCAGAACTGGAACCGTGTACTGAATAAAGTTCCGCAAGAACTCGAGATTAAGTGGGAGCAACTGGTAATCATAAATAACAACAACGGTGGAATAAAAATCCTTTGATAACAACATGCAAAAGTGTGACAATAGACGCTAAACGAAACTGATCCAAGCAGCTAAAACACGCCGGACCGTCACAAACCCCTAAAAAATGTGAAACTTGCATTTATTTAAACCAACTTACAGAGTCCACGGTCCATCTTA